AGGCAACAAGCAAATCCAATAATACAATTTATTATCAATAGCCCAGAGCCCCGAACCCAGTCAGAGGCAGGCAGGAAAAGCACCCTCTAAACTGGGCAAATAATCCAGGGAAAGGGACTCATAAATAACGCCACAAATGGGTGCCAACTGGGGGCGCATTCACAAGGTTCTTGCAACATATTTTCATGTTGTACGCAGTGTCTGTGTGGAAGAGTGGGAGGTAGATAGAAATTGGGTGAAATGTGTGCGACGACGACAAGAAAATATAATTAAAATCTAATTAGCTTTTAATGAAAGCGCAATAATTTAATTATAATGTGAGGCGCAAATAATGTGAAATTAAAGCCAATTAGAGAGCACGCAGAGCCGCAGCCCGATGTCGGCGACGCAAGCAAATTGTAGCCAAAAGATGCGCTAAGGGGAATCTATGCAACGGCAAACGGCAACGGCAACAACAACCAAATGTGGATTGGATGTGTATTTAAATGTTTTGCAAGCGTCCAAAATTGAAATCCAAGACAAAACGGGCGCGTAACTGGCACGAGAGATACACAGATACGCAGACAAAGACGTAGACAGAGTTACAGATACGCAGACGAAAGCAGAGATACAGATACGCAGATACTTTGCGCCGAGTACGCAAGCAGCCGCACATATGGCGTGCGTATCTAGAAGATAACGTTAGCCAGTTGCGGTTGCCGTTTGTCAGAGCAAACCACTGAGAAATTTGAACCGAAATACGGCAACAAGAAGAACAAAAAACAGAACTTGTGCTAAAAATGCAAACAGCGGCCACTGACAGATACAGATACAGATACATTCACAGATGCAAAGATACCGCACCGATATGGTTACTTTGCCAAGCCGGGGCCGTTGTATGTTGTTGTGAATGTATCTGTATCTCAAAGATACGCATAAGGCTGGACAACAACAACAACAACAACAACAACAACAACGACAATGACGACAACGACGACGGACGACGACGGCGGTGACTATTAAGGGGCGTTTCATTTTATGTTTCATTTGCGCCGACGTCGCTGATGACGACAAAATGATAATGACGACGACGCTTGAGACGCTGGCTACCTGTATGAATGAGCTGCGGCTACAACAACAACAACAACAACGGCGTGCAATGAATGATTCGTCTGTCTAACCGTTGCCTCCATCCGTCTGCCCGTCCGTCTGTCGGTCCGTCCAGCTGTTTCCCTGGCCAACGCTGCGTCTGTTTGCCCAAGCTAAAAAGCCAAGTTAAGCGCTGGCCCCGGCGCATGACTAACAGCGTTGGCGCGCTACAACAACAACAACAACAACAACAACAACAACAACGACAACGGCAACAACGAAAGCAACCACAGCTACCAGCCAAAACAACAAGTACAAAAAAACAACAACAACAAGTCAGCACAGCTTGTCGTGTCATCGTCGTCGTCGTGCAGCAGGCGAGCTAAAAAGTGTGTCAACATATCGCCGATTAAATACTCTTTGTTTCAAAAAATTAAACCTTGATTACAATAATAATTTAACAGAGTTTTCCCAATTAATTAAATAGGGGTAAATGCATGTCGTCGCCCGGATTAAATATATTATTTTGAAAATGATATCAAAATTATTTCGTGTATTTGAGCCTTTGAGCGTGTGCTGAAAGGTCCTTTAATAACTGCCTCAATTAATTGATTAATCCCACTCGGAAATATAATTTTGTCAGCTCTTCATATAGAGTTAAAAGCTCTTTTAGGTCCATCTGATAATAACGGATTAACTTTTATTTATTTTATATTTCTCTTTTTAAATATTTATTGGTATAATTTGCCTTATTGCGCTTGTTAGACCGAATAAAACCCAATTTAGTACTTGCTTTCGTCTTAAAAGGAGTAAGTAAAAATTAAAGATCTATCTATCTAGATTTTCTATCTAGAGTTTTAGCTATGGGAAAATACATTTGCCTTGACAAAGTCAGGCAACTGTTGTAAGCGTGTGTAGTGTATATAAAAATCCACATATAAATAATCAGATAAGACAAACGAGTTTGACGCTTCAAATAAATGATTGCCAGCTCTGTTGAGTGTGTGTGTGTGTGTGTGTGTATGTGTGTGTGTGGCTTATATCTATCTATGGGCCGAAGTCGCATGTTTGGCGTTGTTTGTTCGCTGGCCACGTTATCTGTATAGCTGCATCTTGCGGATGCGACTAGCGTAGAGTATCTGTAACTATATATATGCATATGTATCTGTAGTTGGTCAAATAGGGGAAATTCGCTAGCTGCAGGGGGTATAGCATGTTTTATTTTGTTGTTGTTTATTTTTGGTCAATTACCGCGGCAGCTGTTGTATTACCCGTAAAAGCGGCTGGCCATACCCGGCTGATAAGGCCACGCATTTGCTTATGCGATTGCGCAATTAATTTAAGCTGCTGCACAAAAGTATCTCAAAGATGACACGTGCGGCATGCAGATACAATCCGAGTGCGATAAGTTTTCTCCAAGTTAAAGCCAGGCAGACGACCATTTGACATTTGCTGAGGCGAGCAAAAATAATAGCAAAGCCATAAGCCGCAGACACATGAGGCAAGTCCAGGCAAACACAATGGGAACATCATAAGCCAATGAGCTGGTCGCCTTGTTGTATTAAGCGGGTATCCCCAACAGAAGACGAGCTAATTTCATTTGACAGTCAATTTCAGGTTCATAGTTTGACGGGGGAAGGGGAGAAGAGCAGAAGGGAACTGTATGAGCTGCTGACATAAGTGCAAAAACATGTTTTCAAGAGCCCAAGAAACGCGAACAGCCCCCATCTAATGCGGCTCCATTGAACGCAATGCGGAGGGGTTGGGGCTGGGGCTGCGGCTAAGGCTGGGGTTGCGGTTGGTGTCGTCTGTGTGTGGCTCTGATAATCAAGTGAGTGCATTGAGTGGACGCTTTTGTGCTGCGCCATGCAACATTAATGGGCAACGTGATGTGGCAGCCACAGAGGAAACGCAGCTGAACGTAATGTGCCATTAAGCAGGGGCAGGCACAGAGTGAGGCAGGGGCAGGGGCAGGGGCCGGAGCAGACAGAGTAGAGGAAGTTTTAAATTAATGAAAAGCTGACAAGTCACTTGAGGCTTATACACATTTTTGTGTACGCAGGCAATGGACATGGCTTAAACAATAGAAGTTCGATTAGCTGAAAGACGAGAAAGTTTACAATACATGTCCGTATTTATTTCCATTTCGAGTTTCTCAGCTACTTACAAACTTGTCAAATGATCTCATCTAGAGTCTGGGCCACACAAAGGCGACACCTCTCTAAAACAGACAACAGACACTCGAAACACAATACCCATAGTTAAGATCGCATTACAAACAGTTCCATAAAAGCACAAAACTAAGTATAACAGCCATCAAGTCGAATCAAAACAAAAGCCGTATTCGGACCCATTCACAGAGGCCCCCGTCAAGATTTACATATCCATTTCAGGGTCTGGGCCCGCGCTCACAGATGTCGATTCGATTCTATTCGCGAGCAATTAAAATCAACAACAATAAAAAGCCACATTAACAAACTTATTGAAAATCGAGATAGGAATCGGTTTCGATTGCGGAAAACCTTTAAACAAACTGTAAGCGAAAATTAAACAATTAACGAATATTAAATTTTGTGTTTCCTCGGCCAAGACCAACCTTCGCTCAGGCAAAACGGAGTAAAACTCTAATTAAAATAAATATTAAAAATAACGTGAGACGAGGGTCAACAGATAAACGCAGCAAAGAGTCAAAGAGTCGGGTTTGTTCGACTAGCAACTACCCTATACATTGATACAAAGGCATCTGCGATTTGCAGAGTATTTATGAGATATCTGTGGTGCGTAAAAGTATCTACGTAGAAGTTAGACGCATCTGCGAGATACATATAAAAGGTATCTACAATAGTATCCGTAAGATATCGACTCGAACTACTACTTGAAGATGTTTCTGCTACTGTTTTTCAGCCAAAACAATAACAGGATAGCTAAACAAATGTTCTTCACGAAGATATACTCCATAAGTCTGCAAATACTTTTATTTTTGGTTTGTTACATGCATGTGCTCACTTCGATCATACCTCGCATAGCTATTTTTAATGGGTACAGGGTATACAGAAACTAAATGAGGCGCAACAACAACACGGCAAATGACTTGGTATTAACAAAAAAAAAAAAAAGGAAAGAAAAAGAAGAAGTTGGCATAATAATGACATCAATAAAGCGAATGATTGTTATGATACGATAAGGCCGAAAACGTGGTGGCCCAAAGAGGAAGAGCGAAATACCTACCATAGTATAATAATAAAATTGCATGGAAAAACTTTGATTGCGTCGTAGTGGGAGTGGGCGTGACGGTAAGAGGGGGTGGCTTGGGGTGGGGGGGGATTTGAATTGTGGCAAATGAAATGTCATGACTTTTCGGTGCCATTAGAAATGGCAAACACATGCAGACCAATGATTGCCTCCATTATTTGTTGTACTCTTTGATTAATGAACATCAATTAAATGCCAAAAAAAAAAAAAGAGAAAAAACTAAAAAGAGTGGATGGCAACGCCCTTTATTTGTTTACCGCGCACCAAGGGGCGTATGCGTGATATTTTGCTTGGTAAATATAACTATAACCATCTATATCTAAATATATATATATATATATATATATATTCGTACACAATGCATGAGGGCAGGAGGATGACTGAGCGAACGTTTGTTTAATTATGCCTATAAATAATCAGAGCTGAGTGTGTGCACTGGCATTAATTGCGTACACTCATAATAATCAGCTTTACTTTTTTTCTCTGCTCATTTTTACAGGGTGCCAGTCATTAAAATGGGCATATCAACAAAGCGGCTTGATATGCTACGGGCGGAAACGGGCGTGGTCAACAACAAATGGGCGCAATCAGTCGAAATGGTTGATATCAAAAGCGATCTAGCTGTTGTATACCCTGTAAGCTATAAACTAAGCCCGGGGTAATTACTCAAGCTACCAAACCATATCAAATGATGATGTCTACAAATTGAATTGCGCGCTCATCGCATTATAGTTGCATTCGTCTGCTGTTCCCGCCCGCATTGTAGGGTATTCTGGTGCCGGGTGATTGTGGCAGCTTTTCCAGCCGTTGCTAATGTATTTTGCGGCAACATATGACGTCTCTAATTATATGAATTTGGCGCTTATCTCAAAGCAAACACGACAAATGGACATGGAAATGGGCGGCACTTGTGTGTGCGCGAATGTCGCGCCATAAAAAAAACATGCGTTATAAAGAGGAGACAACCCATAACAACAACAAAAAAACGAAGAAGAAGCTGAAGAAACAACTACAAATTATGGCACTGGTGCTGTGTACGAAGCCGGGCAATTTTCACTGCGACTCGCACCAAAAGCAGAGACAATTATCCGTGAGCATTTTTGGTCTGGCCAATTTTACGTGCTCTATGTGTGTGTGTGTGTGTGTGTCTGTGTGTGTGTGTGTGTGGCATTGCCGTCTATAGGCTGGCCACTTCCTTGCCTCCTCGAACCTGTAATGGCCAAAAAGCTGGCTTTGAACACAACATAAATGCACAATTAACACAGAAAACGCTGTTCGAAACGGCGACAGCTCCAAAATCGACAACGACAACAATTTTGTTTTGTTTTTTTTTTTTTTGGACTTGTATTTGAGTAATTTTTGCACAGACTTATGGCTGGTCGGATCATTATAAAAGTGCAATTTGTGCGGTAAGGCAGAAGACAGACGCCGGCTTTTACGAGCCGGGCTGGGCCTGGCTGGGCTGGGCTGGGCCAGGAAACAGCCCGCTGAACATTAAGCCCGTATAATATTTAATCCGTGTAATTAAGTCCAAGGCGAGTCTCGGAGAGAATTTCCAGGCCCAACGGCTGGCTGGGAATGCTCGCCGAGTTTTCCCGCATAGAGCTGGCATATAAAAATAAAAATACAGGTTCTTGTTTTTAATTACCAGCAAACACACACACACACACACACACACACACGCACACACACACACACATACATGACTTTACCTATTGAGGTCACAGTGTGACATTGTCGTGCAACCTGCAAATGCCCATCGGGCGGTCGAAAACAAATGGAAAGCGAAAAGCGGAAAAAGAAAAAAAAAACTATTCCTGGAGAAGAGCCGAATACTTTGTGTTGACCTTTGTGGCCTTTAAAGGTGTCTGTGTGCGTTTGTGTGTGTGTTGCTGACACGGATTAAGGCCAGCAGCAGTTTGTGTTTGGAACTGGGACTAAATTTCATATAAACAGGCAGAGATCAGAAGGCGCTGATTGAATCCAGACAGACGTCAAAAAATGAGCCTTTAAATGAGTTTGAGGCAGAGTTTCGGCATTAAAAGTATTTCATTATATTTTCCGCATCATATTTCATTTTACGCAGCACTTTAACCACTGTGCCTGGCACCAAGAAATCAACACAACAATCAACGCTAACTTCCCTTACTCCCCCGCCCACCCCACCTCTCTGTCTGTTTATCTTGGCATGACTTGGCTATTTGGCACGCTGAAGATTAGGCCAACTCCCTGAGACTGGCATTGCGTAGCTGTTTCAGACGGGCAGCTGCTGATACCGACTGAGCGTGTCACTAAGCCGCACTTGTAGGTCTGTATGCCTCCGGCTGCCCCTGGTTACCTGTACCTGTTCCACCTTCTTCTCTGCCCCTTTGCACTCTTTGCGGTTACTCTGATGGCCGCTGTCAGCTTTCCTGTTGCCATGTTTGCGGCTTAATATCCATTACACCTTAATATTTCGTGCAAATGTCATACAGAATTCATTTTAACTTGAGCGCGCAACCCAATCCCAATCCCGATCCCGATCCCAAAAGACAGCCAACCACAAGTGCACCCAGCACCTGGTCTAGATCCGAGCCTGAGAGGTTTCCCATCGTATAGGTTCAATTCGATTATAATCACTTTGCTCAAATATTAAATTGCTTAATGACCTCGTTTGCGTATTTGCGACCCCCTTTCAAATGGCCACGTAAGCGCTTGCTCAAAAGGGGGTAGAAAACAGCCCCCTTTTCGGCACGGCGCCTGAGAACGGCGCCGGCTGCTGCCCGGACCTCGATTGGAAGGTGGGTTTGACTGACGTGTCTCTGGCTCGCCAGCTAGTCCGACTATTTAATTACAAGCTGATGACGCGCTTACTCTGTAATTTTCATGGGCTATTTAAATAGAAGCCCATTTAAACTGGCATCGATCTCAGGCTTAGGTCGAAAGTTAGTTTTGGGGCTGGGGCTGGCCTACTAATTGCATGTGCTTTGTAAGTGGGTCGCCGATTATAGTGAAACTAACCGAACAATCGGCTGAATAATGCAAAAAGTGCAAATTGTCGTAGCGCTATAATTTGTGGCTAATGACTGCGGCTTCCAGATATTTAATGGCCGGCATTGAAGGACGACCAGGTTAAACGTCTCAGTTCCAGATGGTACAATTCATTTGATGTATTGCTTTCGATATCTATTCAAATTCAATTTTAATTGCATTCCCATTTGAAGGAGAGTTACGGCTCTCGCTCGTATTCCATCATCGGAGCGTGACTTAATCCACCCCAAAATAAAGAAAAAACTGTTTCGCGGCACAAAAGCCCAAAAGGCATTCATAAGTAATCTATCAACTTCATGCATAAAATTGAATGGCAAAAATCGAACGAATCGCCCGCATACATACGTATAGATATATATATATATATATATGTATATACTCATCTATATTCAATTGAAAATCTCGTACAGTCGTTGCCGTCTGTCGCGCTGTTTGCATACAATTAGATACAAATCAAAATCAGCTGCGTCTGGCAACGCCTTGCCAGAGCTCTAGTCCCGTTTCCCTTTCCCATTTCCCTTTCCATTTCCATTCCCATTCGCATTGCCCGTCCCATTCGCTCGTTTGCACCATTCGAACTGTTCGCTTATCGTTTGTCAAACGTTTTGACAAGACAAGAAAAGGGCAGAACCTGAGCAGAGCGTGAAATCGTGTTCTGTTTGCGCTTCTCTACCTCGGCCTGCATTTGTTTGTGCTTCCTCTCGCTTCTTTCTGCTCTCCCGCTCTTTTTTGCATAACTGTTAAGTTAAAGTTCCTGCTGTTTGCCCAACCACAAAAACAGGCAAAATAAACTTTTAAATTTCGAATATTTATTTTTTTTTGTTTGCATTTGGCATACAGTTTGAACTGAATGCAAAACCGACGCCAGTTTCAACTGCGTTTTTGTATCTTTATCTGTGTGTGTGTATGTGGCACCCTGTTCTCGAACCCCCCAGACACCCTGTCCCTTAGATGGCATTGGCGCTTTAAAGAGTAAACATCGCCCAGACTTGCGACGCCGACTGCGTCGCTGACTGCAATTGCGACTGCGACTGCGACGGCGACTGCGGCGACTGCGGATTGTTTGCTCTGCACAGTGCCTGCGTTTTGTTTAAATAAGAAAAATGCGAATTTTTTGCTTTTATTTTGTTGCTTTCTGCTGTTTTGCCGCCCGCCTTTAATGTAAAATTCAAATGTTTACTCGACGCGGGCTTCCTCAACGCGCTGAGGGCAAGGCTGTTGGCCGAGGCAACGCGTACGGGGGCGGTGCGGGGCTCGGGCTGGCTTATACAACAAGCGGGCTGGCATTTGCATGGCTTGCCTTGTAGTTGTTCTTCATGTTGTTGTTGTTGTTGTTGTTGTTGTTGTTGTTGTTGTCGTTTCTGCTGTTGTTATAAGAAAGAAATTTAAATAAACCAAAAACATTGTTTGAGTAACGTGTTCAAAATAAACGAAGCCATTCAGAGGCGAACTGTGAATCGCATATGAGTGGGTTTATGTGGGTATTCGCGGAGTGTACACAACTGCACACATACATACATACATTTAGATATGTGCGCTTGTGTGTGTCTATATGGGAACACTCATCATTTGGCTGCTTGTGCAGTTTCCAGGCCACTGCCAGTCCCAGTCCCAGTCCCAGGCCAGTCCCGGTCCCGGTCCCGGTCCCGGTCCCAGTCGTAGTCGCAGACCCCTCAATCATGCTCAATCATGCATCGTGGCGCCTCGAGAGGTTGAAGTTGCGTTTCCTCAAATGAATGGCGACACACTCGTAAGTGGCATGCATTCATTTTGCCACGACAATTGCCACAGGGGCGGCGGCAGAAACAGACGGAGAGCGAGAGAGTAAGTGAGAGATGCCATTCGATTCGATTCCCATTCCCAATTCGCACTTGAATTCAGTTTTTTATTCAGCTCAAATCTTTGGCAAATGTCTTCGAATGAGCACGTTTTTTATGCGAATATTTGCGCCGAAATGGTCCCCGCAACCCGCTATCCACAGCCCCGACACATTGCAAATATTTATTGAGCACGATTTTTGAAATATGAACATTTTACAGGAGCCGTCGACATGGAGGGAAGAACGTGAATTGCAAACGGAAGAGGTTGCCCCGCAGCGTTTCAGGTTACGCAAGCAATTAGAAGGGACTTATGTCCCTGCGAGGGTTGTCTTACCATACATTCATGAAATGGCCAACACGGAACGAACACGAACACGAACCCGAACCTGAACCCAAGCCCCGAGGCAGTCAAGAGGAAGTAAGCATCAACTACTTATAGAGAGGGTATGGCACTGGCCAAACAAAGGACATGGTCCGATACCAGTCACAATACTCGATAAGCAGCTTACGCAAGAAAAGCTTCTGCTGATCAGGCCAAAGAACCCTCTATGAGTAAGTGAACCGCACATAAGAGAAAAACCTTTTTAAATAAGAGCCAAGGTTGCGTTTCTCATCATTTATTTCTTAGCAAATTATGCCCCAACATCTACAGACTGCAGACCGCCCACAGACGATGGTTCCTAAATAGCCGCAAAGTTCTTGGTAAGCATACCATAGAACTAGTCCTCATCAACCTGAAATAGCTAAAATTCCCTTTTTGCAAGTGTATTAAATCTTTGGCGTGACGAAGGTAGCCCTTAAATCTCGCATATTTTTCATGTTTAAGAATCTAAAAATGTTCAAACTTCAACTTTATTTTCTTTAGATGTAGTGCTCTTAACACAATTAGAGTTAAAAATAAAAAATAAAATAAAATAAAATAAGTAACAGTTATAAGTTATTCATATATGCATATTTTTTATGAGCAAAACACAGAAAAAGTACAATAATCAAGTCACATGCATGTAAATATAAAAAGAGAAATAAAAAAAAAGGAAATTAAAAACCCATACTCCTGTGTTTATTTCAAGGGATACTTCGTAGAAAATCTAGAAATTCATTTTCAAAATGAAACGGTCTCATAACTTCACTAGACGGCTGGCGCGATTTTACCATAAATTCATGAGAAATACCAGGCGAACAGAAATGCACGGAAGGTAGCCAGCAATTTTTATTTGAAAATGTTAACCTGCTGTTAACTCATATGTCAGTTACATCGACTGTTAAGTCGGCCGTTAAGAAGCAATTGCAAAATTTTAGGTAAAATACCAGGCGATCAGAAATGCACAGAAGGTTGACAAAAAAATTAGCGGCGAAAGAATGTGTTGCATATACTCAAGGGGCACCGTTGGAAGCCGTTGGGCTGGCACACATTTTAACAAAAACTTGGCTGAAATACCAGGAGAACAGAAAAGCACAGAAGGTAGACCAGCGATTTTTAATTAAAAATGCCTGTTACATCGACTGTTAAATCGGTTGTTAAGGTACACGTGCCAAATTCAGCTAAAGTACCAGGCGAACAGAAATGCAGAAATGCGAATGAAAAATTGTGTTGTATACCCGCAAGGCACGAAAATGTTATCCTGCTGTTGACTAACATTATTGTTAGCTAGGCAGCTGTAAGGCAGCAACTGCTGCTTAAAACTCTAAAAACTTGAATATCTCTGCTATTTTTCGCCCGATTCCGAAGTGATGTATCTTATTTAGCTCGTACGGACCAGGCCCGTCGATTTAAAATTTTTAAAATTGATTTCAAATGCAGGAAAACAGATTTTTCAAATATTTTCATTTAATTATTTCTCTTCATATTTTTACAATTTTTGTCTTCTACTTAAGCAACATATTTCATTTCATTAACATCTTCACAATTACTGCATCTATTAGTTGTAAGTTTTAATATTTATTTGTGTATTTCTATTTACATCTTGACAATTGTTCTTTTTATACTAAAACCTATTTCTACATTGCTTAGAATTATAGTGACTAGTGCATTTATTCGTAATACATTTTATTTAAAGCCCTAACAATTGTTTTTTATTTTCTATTCTTCTATTATTTTCGCTACAAATGCCTGTAACACAAATGGGAGTCATTATTGTATTGTAAACTTTGATTAATTTCTAACATTTTTCGTCTTAATAATATGCATAAGCCTCTACAATATTTTAAAGCATTATTAACAACGCAAACGGTTTTTAAATTAATTTTTTATGTTTTATGTACAGTAATCGGGTTTCTTTAAATAATTTCTTATATATATATACATAGCCCGGAGCTGCACGGTAAAGTCTTTCTTTTTGCCCTTATTACCTAGATGATTACGTTTTCTTATCCCGTATTCATTTCTGACTTTCCACTGGTTTTTTCTCGTAAAGTTTCATAATTCTCTAAGCGGAAATTGAAGTTTCATGCATGCGACTCTGAAGATACACATTAATCCCAGGAGGATCGATTTTCTGAAAAGATTTAGAAAATAATAATTTAATAATACAACTCAATAGCTTTTATTTCAAACTTGCGGGCTTAACAAGGGGAAGGGTAAGGTTTGCGGGCTGTCAGTCACTCAGCTATATGGACTCTGTTTTCTTACTCTAATGGACTTCCTATGTCTTTAGAGGATATGTGTGTAGTTTTGTAACAAATCCTAATGAAAATTCCCACATGCAAGCCGCGCATAAAACGCCCCTTAAAAACACTGCGAGGCAACTGGGGTCTATCTATGAAATTGGCTGGCTTGGCGGCGTTTCGTGCGTGTCGGATATAATATATGTGGACGGACGATGGGATGGGGTGCGGCCCCACCAAATGCATTTAATAAAATAAAAAATACTGATAATCACGAAATTTATAGGCGTATGCCAACACATCAAAGTCTATGGTCGCGGGGCAGGTCTCTCATGTAATTTAGCGGATGCTTATCAAAATGTAAAATCAACTTTCAATTCTAGTTGTTGAAGTCATGGCTGGGAATGCGGGCTGGGGGCTGGGGGCTGGGTCTGCGGCTGATAGACGGGGGGACCGGGGGCCACAGACAAGAAATCAGAAACATGAAACGTGAGCAATAGGCAAACAAGCCAACGAGTGATATTTTGTGTACTCCATGTACTCCATGTACTGCGTCGTGTTGTACTCCGAGTACTCAGAGTACATGGCAATAATTCTGATTATGAGAAATCGATAAAAATCAATTTGCAATTTGTAGACAGCGCGGCCGCACCCAGCAGTGCCCGCCCGAGGAATGCAAACAAACCAACACACTCCAATCTAACACTCGATTAATCGATATATTAATCGCCTCGCAACTTTTAATTACATGTGCCTCAAATTAAACGCAATTATTTGTAACTAAATGCATGCAAAATTATACTCCCTGATTGAGCCAATTTAGGTGGGCTACGTGCTGTGGCACGGCGGGTTGGGGGGGGGGTCGGAATGGTAAGTTGGACTTTTAGCCGCTTAGTCGCTATAATTAGAGGGCGTGCGAATGCCGGCACCTGCGCTGATGTGGCTTTTGTTGAGGAGAACGTTGAACAAAACAACAACAAAAATCGATTTAAAAATGTCAAAGTCTCTCCCTCTCTCTCGCTCTCACTGTCTATTTCCCTCGCTCGCACTTGCCTCTAATGAATGCTGTGCAACAGGCCGTGTGACGAGGGATGCTGCGAAGTGTCTCCAAAGGCGGGCCAGAACCTGCCCCTGCTCCTACTCACACTCCAACAAGCAATTTGTGTATTTTAATAGACAACATTAAATTCAGTGGGAACGGTTAGGCGGGAGTTGAGTGACAAGAGTTTGGCAAACGACCGGAGAGCGAAGCAATCGTCAATCTTCTAATGCTTCGAGAATGTTTTCAAATTTAATTGAATGACGCTTCGGTGCACGTTGCACGCTGCACGTTCCCCGATTCGCAGTCGACTTGCAACTTCTGCCGACAACGGCGAAAACTTTTGCACAAACATTTGGCCAAAAGTCCGATCGGGCCGTAAATATTTCAGCGCAGCTCTTGGCCCATTTGTTTGCGCTCATGTTTGTTTGGCTTTCTGGTCGCCAAGGGGAATAAACAGGAAAAAGTGCCAGAGCCATAAAAAGCAAAGCACAACAAGAGCCAAACGACTGACCAATACTCTATTTGTAGCTTAAAACCAATCGATCTCAATAATTGCCTATACCACCTCCAATAGAAGCGGGCGTAGCCAATAGACTTCTACACATGTATCGAAAGTGTGTATTCCGTGTTTTATATTGAAAATATGAAGCTTTTAGACATAACAGTACAAGCCCAATATACCCCTTTTTCGTTTCGGAAACAGGGTATTAAAAACGAAAATTGTTCAATTGGGAGCTTGACATTTGATCGCATTGCCGTCCGCCCATACAAAGTTGTCTGCGCCCGCGGCGTCTTCTCTTATTTTTACCATTTTTTCCATTTTCTGTTTGTGTACTGTGAAAACAATGCGAATAATAATAAACCAACGGCAAAAATTATGATGAGGGTCGGTCAGAGATATGCCAGCAAGGGATATCGCAGGACGCAGCCAACTAAATGGAACGTCAAGCTAAGATCGCGTGACAGACCAATCTCTTCAGCTGCAAGCCGGCTCGAACCCCATCTCATTCATTTAGTGCCACACATATGATAAAATGGTAAAAATGTTATAAATGAAATAAATTTATTAGGTAAAATCTTGGCTCTTATATGCGGAAGTCCAAGTTCACGCGAGGTTCGAATCCACATCTGATAAATATTTTTTTGCTTAGCAGCCACATTATGTCGTTTATATCACAATCAGATTCAGCTTGCTGCTAAAATTTTAATTTTACTATTCAATTTGCAACGCTTTCCCACTAAACATTGCCTCGTAGCTTAGTTAACAATTTATCAGTTTTTTTTCTCGCTCAGCTTTGATTTTAGCTTTGATTGAGCTGGTTTTTTGTGCTCGCCAAATATGGCATAGATCTCCATTCGTGAGTGTGTGTGTGAGAGTGACTGTAGCCACATCAATCACTGCCTGAGGCTGAGGCCGACTGACAAGGCACCCAAATACATCGGTATACGGATGATATACACCATATTGTCTGTATACGGTAGACAGAGGGAGAGGAGAGCGATGAGTGGAGCATGGAGCGCGGCTGATACGATATAATCTTGAGTAAGTCGCCGGACTTATCGCATATGTGCATTACATTAAACTTAATTAGTATTTTCGAAAGAGAAAAAATAAAAATAATAGCTGCATGCTCGAAGGAGAGGCGGATCGCGGGTCGCGGGTCGCCGGTTCGCCGGTTCGCCGGTTCGAGGCCGGTTCGAGTCTGTGGGAATACAACGTGGACTGCGTCTGATTAATGGAGCGTTTTGTTCACAATTTGTATGCATAAATTGCGGCACGTACAATAAATAACGCAAAATAATAAATTGTAAATTATGCAAACAACATGAAAAGTTTCAAATAATGAACGGAAGGTCGGTCGGTCGCTCGGCCGCTCGGTCGCTCGTCGGCGACTCTTTCAGAATTTATGGCCCATCGGTTATTCTCATTCATGGCAAAGAAATTTGCAAACCCGATTCACTTGAAAAGCGCTCCATCAGCTCAGACAATTGCACAAAACCCGAATTCGAGTTGTTTGTTCAGTGTTTTATTTACTTAATTACAGCTGGGAATGGAAATGCAAATGCAAATGGGAATGGGAATGGGAATTGCAATTGAAGTTCTAATGAAAATTATGCGACTGCTTTGAATTCGAGTCAACTAGAGGCGACTCGAGTCGAATCGAGTCGGGTCGAGTGGCCATCAAAGCGAATTTCGTTTGAATTATTGCAGCGCCTTTTTGCACTGCATTCGAGGTAATGAGTTTTATTTTTATATTTATTTTTTATTCGATTACATTAACGTGTCAAGTGTTGCTTGTCTGAGGCGCGGGCGGACGTGAGTGGCAAGTGGAGCGGCAACTGAGTCACAGTCACAGACTCAAACTGAGCGTCCGAGTCAGCAATTAATTTGGAAAGTCGCATCGAGCTCTTGACGCGGCTCTAGATATGCATATTAATTAGAAATCGACCAGGACGAAGATGCCACAAGGAAAATGTCACAAAAAAGGGCATGCCAAACAATTGCAAGCTGCTTGCAAGATGTTAACATGAGGATGCAGCTGCTATCTGGTATATAGAAATAGCTCTTAGTGTGAATTTTGTGTTTCTATCATTGAAAATCATTATAATTATAAATATGCCAGGCTAATATAGAGATATACAAAATACATGCCACAAAATTATAAGCTGCTTTGCAAAACATATGCCACACGATTACAAGCTGCTTGCAAAATATTAACATGAGGAGGCGCCTGTTAAATATTTGTCTATTTAAAATGAGCCCAAACTTATCGCGCCCCCTTTTACTTTCCCCTGTCGTTGAGGTAACCCTTGATCTGACTAGCTCTCCAGTGTATTTATGATCTGGCCGGGTCAAAACAGATCTTGCAGCACTTTATCTGGCGCTGGGGCTTGTCTTGGCTGCCAGCAGTCGCTCAAGATTGATGGTTAGGCCAACATACACTTTCTGGCTGGCCGAGGGCTCCTTTCTATCCGTCAGATTGAACATTTGGCAATGTAGCGGAAGACTAACCCGCGGCCCGAGTGGCAACATTTTAAACGCTTTAATGCCAACACTTAGCTGGTGCCCCGCCCACTCCGCCGCCTGATGGGCCCCTTCAGCAGACAATGGCTCATTTGCAGACGCATCGGCAACTAAAAAAAACAATTTTACAGACCCGCTAATATGCATTGTACATTGTACTACGGTTGAAGCGCTCGTATACCACATACACATATTTTTTATATGGGGGCCATTTCAGCGCACAATGTGGGGCAGGCAATGCGGTCTGCTTTCCGTTGCGCGGTGCACTCAGCGAAAAAACCGAGTTCTAAAATTTAAGTTTAACTGGCGTGCAATTCAAAACCTCAGTAGATTTCGCACTTGAATAAGAACACATATAAGTTATATTATTTCCTCATTCATTCGCTTGGTAGAGATCAGAAGGTACTAATCGATTCTAGCCCAAAAAAAAAAAACATATAAAATAACAAAACTGATCGAAAGAAAAATAAATATTGCACTGGATAGTATAAATGAATGAAGTATTTTTTTGGACCGTTTGAGTCAAAATTCTTATTTTCCGTCTAAAGCTGTGAAAATGTGATTTACAATATACTCAACTTGTTTAGATTAAGTCCTGAAAGTTAATTCCATTTTCTGCTGAATTTTGAATTTAAGCAAAAACTGCTTGAGTTTTTTCGTCGAGTGTGAGGCAAGTGTGATTTACAATTTACTCAATCCACATGGGCAGTTAAGGCAGAACGGGTCCGCGGTGTGAGAGATCGTAAAGCCGAAATACTCTTGTGTCGGCATTGGCATTATCTGTACAAGCTCTCCGGCAGAACCACTTTCGTTAGCTCGTAAAA